CAACCAGTGCTCTTAACCTCTGAACCATCTCTCCAGCCCCTTGTTAAGCATTTTTAACTTTTAGTTTCTCTTCTCTATTCTTAGTAAAGTCATTGGCATGAATTCATGTTTTGAAGTCCTCTGAGTGAATTCAAAATAGAGACTTATTTCCATACTCCTTGTTATTGCTTCTCTACACACAAAGCTTTGGTCATACCCAGCTTCCAACAATCTAAACCCATTTTACTCAGTCCCTGTCATATTTTTCTCATACTTCTTTCTAAATTCATTTAGACAGAAATAACAAAATTTCTGTCCATATGAGCCACATATCCACTGTCTATTCACCCACTGATATACACACAGGCTGCTTAGAATTTTTAGCTATTGTGGAAAGCATTGCAATGAACACAAGAGTACAAAACTCTTTTTGAAATATGGAGTTCATTTCCTTTGGTCATATAACCAATAGAAGGTTTGCTGAATAATACGGTAGTACTGGTTTTTATCTTTATTTTTTGAGAAGCATCCATGCTACTTTGTATTACAGCTTTGTTAATTTGCATTCCTACTAACAATGTGCAATTATTTCCTTTTACAGTTGTGCATGTCATCTTTGTAGTAATTTTGAGCACTATTCATAAGTCTGTTGACCACTTCCATGCATTCTTTTGAGAAGTTTAGCAAGTTTATTGGCTTTCCTATTGAGTTACTTGAGTTCCCTATGTATCTTGGTTACTTCCTCCTTATCAGATGCAGTTATTTTCTCACATCACCTAGATTGTCTCTTTACTTTGTTAATTGTTTCCCTTGTTATACAGAAGTATTGAAATTGTTGTGATCTCAGGTTATAAGATGTGATCCCATTTGTCTGTTTTTGCTTTTGTTTCCTATACTTTTGAGATCATATCCCCCCACTGCCAAAAAATATGGTTGACAAAATCAATGCCATGGAACTTACCCCCTACACTTCCCAAATTATTTTCTAGTTGTCTTACCATTTCAGGTATTACAGTTAAATCTCTAATCCATTTTATTTTGATTTTATGTATGGTATATAATACTTATATAGGATAAGTATTTAGTTTTATTCTTCTGTCTGTAGACATCCAATCTGTCCAGCACTATTTATTAAAGCTATTGTCCTTTGTCTTTGTGTGTTGCTGGTACTTGTCTTAGTCACTGTTTTAGTGCTATGAAGAGACACTTTGACCACAGCAACTGTTATAAGAGAAAGCATTTAACTGGAGTCTTGCTTACAGTTTCAGAGGTTCAGTCCATTATCATCATGACAGGGAGCATGGTGGCATGCAGGCAGACATGGTGCTGGAGAAGTAGTTAAGAACTACATCCTGATCTGTAGGGAGGGAGTTGGGGGAGGGAGAGGGAGAGAGAGACAGAGAAACTGAGTAGACCTGTCATGGGCTTTTGAAACCTCAAAGCCAACCTCCCAGTGACACTTCCTCCAACAAGGTCACACCTCCTAATCCTTTTCTAATAATGTCACTCCTTTGTGACTAAGTATTCAAATATATGAGCCCATGGGAGTACATTCTTATTCAAACCACCACAGTACTTTTATTGAAAATCAGTTGACCACAAATTCCTGGATTTATTTCTGGGATCTTCAATAGGTTCCATGTGCCTATTTGGTTATTTTTTTATGCTAGTACCATATTGTTTTGATTACTTTCACAAGGTAGCACACATTTGTTTCAGTATAAAACAAATAAATATACATTTATATACAAATGTTGATAGGAAACGTTTAATATTGTTTGAATATATGTTTCGCAAATAAAATCTGACTATATTTTCCTTTTATTGATTTCATTCTTAATGCATTATCTTCAACAATTTCTAATGTGTAATATAAAGTGAAATAAGAACACTTTTAAATAAATTTTTTTCTAAATATTCATAATTGTTCTAATCTTCTACAGTTTTAAGGCCACATAAACCAACAACTTGGCATTCAAATATTTGTTCCTCTAAAGTAGTCTAATTTCTATAGTGACAGCTGTCTTTGTCCACAAATCAATTTATGTAATATTGAGTTATATAATTACCATACAAATGTATCTGTCATATAGAGACTTATACCCCTGACTCTCTGTGGGCATGAATTGATGAGAGCAAATACACATGGTCTTTGTAGAGGCAATCCTGCTCATTTTAAGGATAGACTACATTAATCTGATGAATTAGAAATGTGAGTAATTAAAAGCAGCTTCTAAACTCTATTGAAAGTAGGGTCTGTGTCTAATGCATTCCCACAATACTTACAAAAGTACCCTGTAGGAAACTGAATGAAATTCTACATTTTCCTGGGCAGAAATTGGTTGAATAATGATAATGATGGTATGGCAGAACATGTTACCTTAGAATTTCCAAGCCAGAATATCAAATATACCCCAATGTATATGTGCAGACTTCAAGATGACCCTACACTGTAGCTATCTTTTGTACATTATTATGTTATAAAATGCACTGGTTACTTCTTTTTGTCAACGTCACACAATCTAGGGGCATCTGAAAAGAGAAAACTCCAATTGAGAATTGTCTCGATAAAACTGGCCTGTAGACAAGTCTGTGGGGCATTTTCTTGAATAAGGATTGATGTGGAGCATCAATAAGGATGATGGGGAGCAGTTCCACCCCTGGACAGGTAGTCCTGAGTTGTATAAGAAAGAGGTTGAGCAAGGCACAAGGAGCAAGCTAATAAGTAAGTTTTCTCCATGGCCTCTGCTTCAGTTCCTGCATTGATTTCCCTTCATGATGAATTATAAGATGAAGTAAACCCTCTCCACTCAAAGTTGCTTTGGACATGTGGTTTTTTACAGCAATAGAAACCAAATTAAAATATCTTAAAATCTCATTGTTATTGTGTTATACTTTCATAATTCCTGGGGTTTGTGTTTATTAAAAATCACTTGTATATTTTACCTTTAGCCGAAAGTCCACATAACATCAATATATTCCAACAATGCATGGTTTGAGTCTGTACTAATATGCTCTGTATTTGTATATGAAATTTGCACTTATCTCTTTTCCTACAATCTATTTCTTAACTCAAAAATTTCACTCACTATCAAGTAGGGCTGCTTTGATTAACTGTGGCAGTATAGTAAACTAATGGAAACCTTCCAGGCTTTAAACAAAAATCTGGGATTACTTTCTCTCATAATTCTGCGTGTTAAATGAGCTCATCAAGGTAGTTCTCACTCAAGGTGTCATAGAGTTGCAGCCAGATGGTTGACTTCAGCTGATATCACCTGAAGCTTTGACTGGATTGGATGTTTAAGTTAGCTTGCTTCCATATCCCATACTTGATGCTGATATATGCTGGCTGATATAGCTAGGCCTGCAAACTAGATCACTTAGGTGTCTCTTCAACATGTGAGCTGAAACTCTCACAGCGTGGGCTCTAAGAGGGAGTATTCTATGAATAGCCATCCCAAGAAAGGAAATAGAAGCTGTCAACCTTTAGACGCGGGCCCAGAAACAAGTACTTTGCCACCTCTGCCATGTTCCAATAACTAAAGTAATACAACAGCTACTCAGTCTCAGAGAAGACAAATGGCCCACCTCCTGTTGATCATAGTATCAAAAAAGTAGAGACTATTTTAATCAACTATAATATCCATTAGAATTTTTATTTATGACATTATATAAACTAAAATTACTGAATTTTTTGTTTTTGGTAGATTTGGGGATCAAATTCAAAGTGCCATGTATGCTGGGAAAAAAGATCTACTACTAGGTACTACCCTCAGCCCTACTGAAAATTTTAGAACAGTAAGAAAAGTCTTTGCCACATACTTTATTTAAAATAATAAAGTTAGTATTAAATGGTCTATTTTACCTTATCATATCATTTTTGTTTCTGGTATGGTTAAATAAAATACTTGCTACTCTTACGACAGAAATAAAAGTCAGGCAAATATCTCTTCTGTGTGTGTGTGTGTGTGTACATGTGCACGTGTGTGTGCGTATGTCTGTGTGTCTGTTGTCGGTCTGTTGTGGGTCTGTGTGGGTCTGCGGGTCTGTGGATGAGTGTTAAGATTTCAAGAGTCTCTAGCTTTACTATGTGAGGGTTTAGCTTCTGAGCTTTTCACATCTGCTCTCTGAGAAGCACAGTTCTCTGCTCTTGACTCAGTGCACAGGAGTCAGCTCTCTCTCTCTCTCTCTAGGAAAATTTTTTAATCATCTATTCATTTTATATCCCAACAGCAGCACCCCCATCCTCCCCTCCCAGTTCTTCCCCCCACTCCTCCACTCTCAGTCTCCAGTCCCTTCTTCTTCTGTCTCCATCAGGAAAGGGCAAGTCTCCTATGAGTATCAATAATAAACATGGCATATCAAGTTGCAGCAAGACTAAGCACCTCCCCATGTATTAAGGCTGGACAAGGTGACCCAGTATGGAGGACTTGGTTCCCAAAAGCCAGTAAAAGAGTCAGAGACAGTCTGTTTCCACTGTTAGAAGTCCCATAAGAGGGCCACGCTACATAACTGTAACATATGTGTAGAGTGCCTAGATCAGTCCCATGCAGGCTCCCTGGTTGTTGGTTCAGTCTCTGTGAGCTCCTATGAGCCCAGGTTAGTTGATTCTGTGGATTTTCTTATGATGTCCTTGACCCCTCTGGTTCCTACAGTCCTTTTTCCCCCTCCTCCACAGAATTCCTGAACTCCAACTAATGTTAGGCTATGTGTCTCTGCATCTGCCTCCATCAGTTTCTGGGTGATGCCTCTCTGATGACAGTTGGGACAGGCACCAATCTGGTCACAGGAGGTGGCCAGTTCAGGCTACTTATTCGCTATTGCTAGGAATCTAACATGGGGTCCTCCCCATAGAGGAGTGAGGTCTTTTAGGGAAATAATATCTGAGGAAATATAAATTTCCTATATTCCAAATATAAGAGAAAACATGAAATATTTGCCTTTCTGAATATGCTGTATTTCATTTAAGAAGATGATATCCAGTATTCTAACTTTCTTTTTACTTATCTCCCCTTGGCTAGGTGGAGTTGGCTCCTGATATAGGCCTTCAATACAAAGGAGAGCTAACGGTTGTTTTACGCTACATTCCTCCAGAGGAAAACCCTATATTCCCAGTAGGACAACCTCAAGGTAGGGTTAAAATCAATAGATATGATCAGCGACATTCTCTTTCTATTGTGTAAGTAGATGTTAGTGTTTGGTTGGCCTGTGTTACTTTTCCAGTACAATAATATAATAGGATTGGGGTCTTTTGGGAGTTGAGAAGTACATGTTATAATGTATGCAGAGAAGAAAAGTACAGGACAAAAATCCATACTTAGAAACCAACCCTGATGGGAGATTATTTCCTGTCAGTCCAAGAGATACAGAATCTCCCCAATGTGGAAGGAATGTGTTGTATGAGGGGGTTTTTAGGAAGCTGCTCTAGGGACTCATTCACAGCTACTTGGGAAGTCTAGAGAAGAAATATCTGGCAGAAAACATAGAAAACAAATGGAAAATTCAGATAAAATCAATTTGAAATTTCTCTTTTCTTCCTCCTTTCATTATCTTCTTAGGCAGCTTCCTTTATTTTCCCATTCATGGCAATACCATACGGTCATCCCTGAAAACATACATACAAGTAACATTATTCAGACTGAGCAGGTTATAGTTAGGAATATATATGTATGTACATATATGCATGTAATAACAGCCAATGAAAAAAGAGACCATGAATTTGAAAGAGAGCAAGGAGGGAAACATGGGAGAGTTTGGAGGAAGATTATTATAATTACATAATTATAATTATATTATAATCTCAGAAAAAAGGAAAATAATTTTAAAAAGCAAAAGAGTTGTGAGGATTAAATAGGTTCATAAATGTAAGTTATGTCAAAGAGTATTAAATAAAGGTCCAGTCATAAGTGATTATTGCTCATGTTGAACCTTTTACATCAGAATAAATATTGAAGTTGAAAAAGTTTTCTCCCAACCACAAAATGTAACTGAATCTAGGCTGTACCCTCTAGAACTGACCCTGTCTGAAGTTGACAATTTATAAAAAGGGAGTTATTGAATATACCCTTTGGAAGTCAGTTTAAAATATCCAAGCTATAGAAATGTCTCTCCTGGAGCTCTGGTGCTTGGGTCTGGCTTTCACCATAGCTCTTTCTCGGTAAGAACAGGATGGTGCCAGGCGGTGGTGGTGCACGCCTTTAATCCCAGCACTCGGGAGGCAGAGCCAGGTGGATCTCTTGTGAGTTCAAGGCCAGCCTGGTCTACAAAGTGAGTTCCAGGACAGCCACCAAAACTACACAGAGAAACCCAGTCTCGAAAAACAAAACAAAACAAAACAAAACAACAGGGTGGTGGTCCAGGCAGGATCCATTTTATTCCTTTAGAAGCTTTACATCTTTCCTTTCCAGAAGCTTTGTACATGCGTGCGTGCGTGCGTGCGTGCGTGCGTGCGTGCGTGCGTGCGTGTGTGTGTGTGTGTGTGTGTGTGTGATATAATATATACAAAGAGGCATGATTACCAGAAAAGGAAGTAACTGTAGATGTTCTCTGTAAAATGTGAAGTGGAATCACTGATCCCTTCTACCTCCTCTCTGCTGGTTCGTTCAGGAAAGAAGACCTTTAAAAGGGGAAAGAAGAAGGAGTCACCTGTCATCTCTGGCGGAATACTTGAAGTGTTCATCAAAGACGCGAAGAATCTGACAGCAGTGAAATCGGGAGGCACTTCTGACAGCTTTGTGAAAGGGTAATTTTGTTCTAGCTCATCATAGATGACACTTACTGGATATTGAAAGGAGCTGTGATCCACTAGACAATGGGAGTTGTGAGAGGCGCACGTTCTGCATATTGCATATACTTTGGAAAAGCTACCCTTAAGTGCTTGCTCTTACATCTAAAGCAATCTGAGTATGGAGCGGACTTGCTGTTCTAGTTTTCACTGTGTCGCCAGCAGATTTCTGGAGGGCCACTGTGAGGATCACTCTCATCCTGAAGGCTGGAAGATTTTCCCAGGAGGTTCATTTCTCAAAAGAGAAGCATGATTTTCTATGTATAATTTACTTATATTTTTTTCTTTGTTTTCATTTGGTACAGCAACCAAACTATTAAATACTTGCTGGTTTGCTCTCTTGGGGAAAATTGCAAAATGCAGAGAAATCTCAGCATCTTTTCTGGAGAGTGTTGGAGGCAGGCTCCAGGACTACCTGATACACATCTGCTGCCATATGGAGCAAATGGCAGTTTTTGAAGGACTATTGCCCTTTAAATGGATGTTCTTGCTCATTCTAGGCAATCCAAATAGCAAGTCTCTCTCATTTCTGACTATTGTAGACTTTTCTCATGAAATTAGAAGAACCTGGGCTAAAAGGATATTTTTTCATTAATTCAAGCAAACACTCACATGTATATGTATCAAGGATTAGATGCTGCTCTTTGAAAAATAGATATAACTGACCGCACAGAGCACCATTAAACATAGGAAGGAAAGCAAGTTTCCATGATGCCAAGCCATAGCGTGAGTCTTCAAGGCACAGATGTTGCCTCTTTGAAAAATGATCCAGGCCTGATGGTAGTGCCTGAAATCCTACTACTGGGGAGACTGAGTCCGGAAGATCACAAGTTTGTGTCCCTCCTGGGCTACATGTAGCAAGTGCCAGGCTAGCAGGGGGCAGAGAGTGAGATCTTGCTTTTTTCTTTTCATGTATAATCTTTTTAAAATTGTATTTTATTTACCTTTTTTCGTTTATTTTACATACCAAACACAGTTTCCCTGCCCTCCTCTCGTCCCATTCCCTCCCCACCCCAACCCCCACCTTCCATCTACCCCCCTCTCCATCTACTCCTCCATCTCCATTCAGAAAGGAGCAGGCCTCCCGTGGGTGTATTTTCCCACAAGGAAATGAATCATATTTTTATTCTCGTGCATTTTAAGTTTGGTAAACCATCTAATAAAGAGAGTAAGATGACTAGGGTTTCCACATTGCTGAATTGTGTTAGTTAGCATAAAAGAAAAACTTTGTCTGAATCATGCTGCTGTAGTTAACCCAAGAGCCCCAGCATCCAGTTTAGGACTCTGCTCCTTACTGTCTTGTATGGTCAGAATATTATTCCTGTCCTATGGCCCTATTATTGACCTTCCAGGGATGACTTAATATTGTCTGGAACAGTTTTTACATTTTCTTGTTGAGAATTTATGAGGCACAAATAATAAAGAATAGTGCTTCATTCTTTCTTTAAAAAAACCAGTAAATTCTCTTATGGATTCTTAACTATTAAGCCAATTTAAAAATTATGCAAGGAGTCAGAGAAATGGTTCAGTAGTAAAGAGCACTGGCTGCTCTTGCAGAGGACCCAAGTTCAGTTCCCAACACCCACATGGCAGCTCACAACCATCTGTAACTCCAGTCTCAGGAGATCTGATACCCCCTTCTGGTCTCCATAGACACTGCTTGCACATAGTACATAGACATACATGCAGGGAAGACAGTCATACACATAAAAATAAATAAGTACATAAATAAATAAATAAATACCCTTAAAAATGAACTGAGGTATCTTTTCAAAGAGCCAGCGAGCAAGCAAGAACAGACATATTGGTAATGTTATGAAATATGTAAATTACATAATTACATATGCTCTGCTTATGAAATATGTAAATTACATAATTACATATGCTCTGCTTAAGAAAGTCAGGGCCCACAAGATGGCTCAGCAAGTAAAGGAGAATGGGCTTGCCACCAAACCTAATGAACCAGTTTTGATGACTGGAACCCGCCTGGTAAAAAAAAAAAAAATTGGTAACTGACTCTTGCAGGTTATCCTTTGGCCTCCACATCTGTGCCATGGCATGCCCCCACACATACATACATACAATAAAAAATAAATATTACAAAAAATTAAAAAAGACACTTTCTCTTACATGTAAACAATGACTGAAGGTAATTTATCTAGGGTAGATGTGGAAACGTCCTGATTATCAGGGATGAAGGTGGTTTTCTATATCATTATGGCATCTTCTCCATGGACCAAGATACCTAGCTATACAGAGTTCGACTATCCTAGGCAAGTCTAAGCTCATAGGATGCCTCCTATAACTTTTTCATAGATCTACCTGTATTCTATTGACCAGAACCTAGTCCTGTGGCTATATGAGTTGCAAGACAGCTTTATGGTCTTAATTCTGGGAAAGCATATGCCCAAATGTAGAACCAGTGTTTTTTAATGATGGAAATATAAGAATTGAGACAAAAGAAAATGTAATATGCTAATAATAAAAACCAGGAATTTTAAAAGTATAGAATGGAGATTGAGAGATAATAGCATTCTCTAGTTAATTTATTAATTTTTCCCTGTTTGGTGGTCGTGCTGGGATCAAACCCAGGCCCTTGCTAGGTAAGCACTCTGTCATTGTCCTACTTACTAGTACTGACCAATACAGTAAATAAAATACCACATGACCCAATTATCTTCTTGATCCCTAGGCCATTTACTTATATTTTTCATAATTGTTTCATGTACTTATTCCATGTACACACTCATTTTCTTCCCTAAACCATGTTTCCTGAAGGCACAAAGGTGTTCCGGACTTACAATTTGAACACAATAGAGATGACCTAGGGCACAGGTACTCTCCCAGAGAAGGGCTTCCAGGAAACATCAGTGAAAGAGTATAGACCATGAAGCAAAAGACAGAGGGAAGCAGATTAAAAAGATATGTTAATGGGAAGGTTATCACTGTAGGGGTCAGTTCCACTGGGAAAACAACAAGAACTCCACATAACATTCCTCAGGAGTATCCCGTGAAGACCTGTGGAACTCACCAACCTTTTCTAAAACCCACTGATTGAGAATTACCCTTCAGGCGTTCAGTCTTCAGTGACTTCTAGGTTCTCTGAGCATAAGGGAGAAAACTCGCACAGAACCAGATAACCTGGGACACACAGGATTTGAGGTGAGAAGCTGAAAACATGCCAGGAATTATCTACCCTGCCTTCAAATCAGCCTACAGATGACCCAGGAAGATACAAAGTGAAACACTCAATAGTGGCTACCACCACAGGTCTTTTCTTTCCCAGATGGAGAACCAAATATTTGGAAGGGTTTGGAAAAACAAAATTATATTAAAAAAATGGAAAGAGGTCATTTTACTATTGCGGCACTAGTCATCCCTCCAAATAAGATATTAGTGAAGCTTAGAAGAATCAGGGAGAGAACACCAAGTATGCATATTGCATTCACGCACAGTTACACAGAATTGTAGGAAATCCAAATGACAACTCAAAGATAGCATTTTTTAACTTTCCCACTAATGTGATTGTGTTTCCTTCTACAGCTACCTGCTTCCTGATGATAACAAAGCCACCAAGCACAAAACTGCGGTTGTAAAAAAGAGTGTTAATCCTCAGTGGAATCACACATTCATATTCAGTGGCCTGTATCCTCAGGATATAAAGAATGTTTGCCTAGAACTCACCATCTGGGACAAGGAGGCCTTTTCCAGCAACATCTTTCTAGGAGGTGTCCGGTTAAATTCTGGAAGTGGTAAGGAATTGGGCGAGCTGGAGCTGGCCTATGCCTGGCCATGGGCAAGAGCATGACTGGTACAGGTGTGATGTGTTGTAGACTTTCATGTAGTTTGAGCTCTGACTAACTCCTGAAGTAACATAGATGCCTCATTCTTTTAGATGGAGATCTGATCATGGTTAAGATGTAAGTGTTAATGTGGTAGCTTACATTGCTTAAAGTTGAGCAGGTGTTATAGTTATACTTGATCCTTTCATAGAAAAATCTTCAATACATTCATGCAAGTCAATTTCAAGTACTTTGTTGGGTCTTCAGGTTTTGTGCAGGTGAAAATCAAGACAACACAGACTTGTGATAGGAGAAGAAGGCCTCATAAGGTTGCCTTTACTTCATCTTCTTTTAGAACTTCAACTCAATAATGATCATGTTGAAAGGAAACCACATTTTCTCTACAGACAACATTGTTCATACAAGCAATGTGTCTTACTTTGCTTTCTATTGCTATAATAAAGACAATGACAAGGAGCAACTTGGGGAGCAAAGGGTTTATTTCAGCTTGTTATTTACAGTCCGTCATGAAGGTGAATCAGGGCAGGAAGTCAAGGCAGGAACATAGAGGCAGAACTGAAGCAGAACTACAAAGGAATACTGCTTACTTGCTTGCTCAGCATGTTTTTTATATAACCCAGGACCACCTGCCCAGGGGTGGCACTGCCCCCAAGCCGAGCTGTTTCCTCCCACACCAATCATCAGTCAAGAGACTTCCCCATAGACTTGTCCTCAGGCCAATCAGATGGATGCATTTTCTCAATGACCTGAGTGTGTCATGTTGATAGAAAACTAAACACAGAATGAAAATATATAACTCAGGTCATAAAATATAACAATGTGTGAACCAGGTGGGGAGACATATTACAGTTGTCAAATGCTTTATCACTAAAAGTGCACATGCAGTCACCCCAGATCTCTTTATCCCATTATCTTAGATCAGCCATATGCCATGCCAACATTTTGGTTGAGAAAGACCCCATCTATATGAAGCTTTTTTTATAGATTAAAGAGAGCAGGGGATATGTCAATAAATTTGAAACTTCCAGGGTCAGAGAAGCAGCTATGTTAGAAATAGAGATTCTCATATCTGAGGACAGCCTGTGAACTTACACTAACTTGGTTTAGATGAATTGGTTCTCTGCCAGGCTATCAAAGTAGGAAGAAAATGAGACATCAGGGGCCATTCTGATTTCTCTGCACAACCTAAGTGGAAGGAAGTCATACAGGCTTCAATAAACTGACTCATTTGAACACTTCTCACTAGCTATGGGAACTGAGGAGAGGCCAACAAGAGGATTTCTACTTGAAAGCTCCCCTCAGGGACTCTTACTTGCCTTCTAGAAGGTTGACCCTCTGTATGAAATGTTGTACCCCCTTTTCCCTTCTCCAGGTTTCAGCCATGGGAAGAGTGTAGACTGGATGGACTCTCGTGGGGAAGAACAACGCCTTTGGCAAAAGATGGTTGACAACCCTGGAACATCTGTAGAGGGAGTTCTCATGCTGCGTTCCAGCATGGCGAAATGTAGGCTCTGAGGGGACCAATTCTGCAAGAACTACACATCTCTAGTCGCCTGCTGTTTTCTCTTGGCAAAGGACTGGGACCTTGAATTCTGTTTCCCTGTCATTTCTCATCTAAGGGTATTAGGACATGAGAGGAGCTATGTCAGTTTTGTGAACATTTAGGATCTTGCTGATTGTCTAAAAACCATATCCTTCTATATGTTCACCTACTCAGGCTTCCTTGAGTAGGCGATAGGAAGTGTACCACACCATCCTGCCAACAAGCAAAACTGTGCAGTGGCTCATAGGCTTTATATCAACAGAAATGACACAAGCTTATTGGAAAATATTGTTGAGATTAGGGGTCCTCAATCCTTTCCCAACCAAGTTACTTCAGTTTGAGAAGAGAAGGGAACACCAAGAAGGTAGATTGCTTGAAGAATAACATAGAGAGATACTGGCCACTTTGCTTATCCTGGGACTGTCTATGATTTAAAGAAGGCATGCTGGGAATGGTATGGGAGATGGGGTAGAATCCATTTGTAGTGGCAAACATCAGGTTGGAGGTGTTAATGTTTTATGATGTCTTGGTTGGGTTCTGGTAACTGCAGAATTCGTCCTCTAATTCAGCCTCCTTTTGAAAGTGAAGAGTGCTAAATGATTACACATGATTACACATGCACACACACATGCACACACACATGCACGCATGTACGCACTAAAACAGACACAAACTAGAATGTGTGTAGAGAAATTGGAATATAAGGTCATCTTGCTGATAAACTAGCAATTATTGAACTATGTTACAAAAATTATTTTGTCTAATATTACAAGCCATTATGTAAAAAGAAATAAGAAATAAGGGACAATCAATTTATATCTTCACAATTTGTTCACTAGGGAGACTAGCTAAGTGAAAAGGGAGCTACTCCAGTGTGTGTCTCTCGTGCTGCTAAGAGTCAGGAACTCCATGTTCTCTCTTTCATTTTCTCTTCACTCAAGTTCTTATCTGCTTATGCTATTATAATGGCAAGTAACAAACCACATCAAAAGTCAATGACTTAAAATGAAGACCAATTTTTTCATGTCTATGAAGGTTGGCTAGGAAAGCTCTGCTTCCTCCTTATAGGCCTGAGGATCTAAATCAGATGCTTATTTCTCATCCTCATTAAACCAAAGGAATAGCATGAGTGTGGTGATGGCAGAGGTGTACTTGGATAAGTCACACTGCTCAATCACGTAAATGTGTATACCTCATTTGTCAAAAGGAAGCCATATTGCTAAGCCCAAAAATCAATAAAAAAAGGAAATACGCCTTGCTCACGGTGATGCCAGTGACAAGAGTGAGTGTTCAAGAAATAATGGTGAAACAGAGGCCAGTGATTGAATCCATTATAAGTCCTGTCATTTTGGTGCCTAAGCGACCAAATGTAGAAGCAAAGTCATTTAAATCCGGAAGGGTTGCCAAGCTTGGTTGTTTATTTTATGGGTTCCAACCCTGCCATTGAGAGAACTGAAATAACTTGTCCAAGGTCATGCAGAGGCTGTGACTGAATCTGGACTCAGCTCCTAGGCAACTTTGACATGACTCTATGTTATCAAGGTGGATAGATGATTACATGTCAGAAAAAAAAATCATAGTCTGATTATTTAAACATAAACATACATGGTCTATGCCAGAGGTGGTAGGTTATACTTGTAATCCCAGCACTTTGGAAGTGGAGGGAGGAGGATCAGAAATTGAAGGTGAGCCTTGGATACATAGAGAATTTTAAGCAGTCCTGGGCTATGTAGCCAGACCCTATCTCAATGGCACCCCATGCACCAAAAACATGCATACTCCAGATGTTATGGAATCAGATTCAGTTCCTTATAGCTGATTTCTTCATTTTGATACATGCAAACCCTTTACAATCTAAAAAATGAATGTTAGTAGTAGGAGAACTAAAACCATGTTCAGATTCATTCTACTTAGTTGCAACATGTTTTTAGATACGTTTTGAAATTTGAAAACTCATTTAAGAATGTATCTAATATTCTTCCATAGTAAGGGAATACACAAGCCATTTCCAGCTTTATTCAAAAATAGGTCATCTATAGAAAACTCATTCTATCATAGCTCAGTAAATACGATACTTCTTAAGGATTCACACACCATTATGCAGAAAAGAAAACTATATACTTGGTACTATTTCTCACATTGGAAAAAATAAATCATCTTCAAACATGATTGGATTCAGTGACATTTTAGGGGAATGTGAGAAGGTGGTGATGGTGAAGCCAGTCTCTGGAGTAGACACAACAAAATAGGTTTAGTCACTAAGAAAATGTGGTTAAATAATTCTTAAATTTACAAGTTAAACACAAGAAGGGCATGAATCTTTGTGTTCAGATCAAATTCAAAGCAGTTCTCTGTACAATGGTTTCATGAAATCCAGCTTCTTACTGGGTATTTCTTTAACACAAACCCCAGATACACTAAATAGATCAGAAACCACAGGAAATATGGGTAAGCCATCTGTGTTTCATGCTTCTCCCGCAATCTTCTCTTTTTAACAGCAAACACTTTGGAATTCAAAATTATATATATATATATATATATATATATGTATATCTTACTCAGCCATCCACTTTCATGTATCCTCCCTACAGAAGTAGATATGTATATGAGAAATGAGTACCTATAGGGGCTTGGGTTTCTGAAAGAGATCAGAACAATACAAATCCCACCAACAGAAGTCTGAAAATCACACACTCCGGATTTTTTCTGATTCTAGTTATGAGTTGCTTCTCCTCTTGTGCCTCTGATAGTTCTCAGCATTAACTGTTACCATTTGGACTCTTTGGTGCTCTCTTTCTCCTCACTTCTAACCTACTTTCATGGTAACATATACTTATGATGTAAAATTTCCATATCCAATGCAGACCTTTCTTCTCAGCCCTAGACAAGATCCATCAAACCACTTTAGTTATTCCTGTCACAGCCAAGTAAACAGAGCTAAGAAAGCATAGGGAAAAACACGTAGGTCACAAATACCTGTTTCTTAGGGTGCCTTGCAAGCCCTAGGCGACCAAATGACCCACTAAGACTTTAAGACAAAATTTACTTAGCAGTTGCCACTGATCACCAATCCAAGCTTGCCAGCTCCCCAAAGACATTACCAGTCATATGAACTTGCTTCCAAAACAATCTGTGTTATTTCTTCTCTCTTCAATAAAAGTATAATCTTTTCCTTTATTCTCTCAATATATTAGATACTGCCCAGTATGTGTGTGTGTGTGTGTGTGTATGTGTGTGTGTGTAGTACAATTCTATCTTTCCATTAACTCTCAAATAAAACTCCCTTCTTTAAGATTGATTTCTATAACTGTATTATATGATGACAACCTAGATCTAACCACCAGTATGACATCTCAGGATAGCTTCTTTGAAAATATATTCAAACTAAATACTCTGCTATCATTCTTGTTCTCATCTTCTTGCTCTAGCCTGTCCCATCTCAGTATTTAGGGGCACCCATCCTCTAACCCGTGACAGTAGCCAGGCATCGTGGAATGATTTTTATTTCTTGCTTCTCCTTTGCCCAGAATCAGTCAGGGAATCATGTTGAGTCTACTTCTTAACTTTCCTCATCCCTGTGATAGCACTGAAGTCTGAACTAATGTCACTGCTTTCCATGATTCCTTCAGTAGTCTCCCAGCTTTAATCCTTTTGAATTGTTTATTATTATTTATTGTGTGTATTTATGATGTGTGTGCTGCATACACATGTGGAGTCCTCTCTTTACCTCTTCACATAGATTCTGGGGACTGAACCTGGGTAATTAGTGTCATGGTGCAAGTATGTTACAGCTGCGATGTCTCTCTGGCTGTAAATAACTGTTCTTTACAGTTATTCCAGTCTCCACACTAGAAACAGAATGATTCATCTCAAAAATATATTTTAAATGCCCAACTATACAGAAAAGTCAAAAGAACTGTCTAGTGACCACTCTTGATCTAATGACCTAAATTTACCATCTAGCATTAGCACATGACTGTACTTGTCTGTGATTGTACAGATGATATCTGTCCATCCCCAGAGTGATCTATGCAACTTCCCATGGGCTTTCAATTGGCCAGAAAATCAAGTTTAAATTACTGTAGATGGTCCAGCATAAGAAAGCCGCTGCCGTTTCTCTAGCATATCCCAAGCTGTGTCTCCCTTTCTGCTTCCTCCCTTTCTCTTTAACCACCTTGTGTGCTTTCTTGTTCGCATTAACCCTGTCCCCATAAGTCATCCAGGTCTTCAATGCTATGAATGCTACTTCCTCAGGAAAGCCTTCTAGATCCTGTGCTGAACTAGGTCACAGAAGCCTGCCTTCATTTCCCGTTCACTGCACCAATCACAATTACATTCAATTATTCGTGTAATGAAACTTTTGGTGCCCAAGTGTGCTGTCTCGCCACTATGTAAGGTTCATAAGGGCAGAGGTATCACAGCTGTATCCCTAGTGCTTGACTGAGAATAAGTAATCAAAACTATATGTGAAATAAGTCAAAAGAATACAAAAATAACATCACAGAGCGTTACATCAGTAAGCATTTTTAAAAGCCACCATTTCAAAGTGAGAGGGGAAGGAGGAGATAGAGCAAGGGTGGATATGGATTTGCATGTCTTAACTAGGGATTTGGGTCATTGACAGGATGAAATGGGGACTACTGAGTCATGAGCTGAAGACTGACGAAGTATCACATGTTTCAACAGTATCCCTCTGACTGCTGTATCCAGTACATGTTGATTAGACATCAACTTGCAACACTCAGGCTATTTTCAACTACAAGTAACAAAATAACAAACTAAAGGTTACGTCATCCCTAAGCCTATAAGGAGGGCTTAGTCTAGTTTGCACAGCTGTGGTTTGCAGGCTAGCTATCCCCTGGATTAAGACTAGTGATTCTTCATCACTGTATAGCCACAACGCTGATGATTATTAAGGTATCTGAATGAAAACTGAAGAAGGGAGAGAATGTTGGCAAACTGAAAGCAATTGACAGAGAGATATTACTTAAGTTGGACAATAGTGTCAATGCTTTCTAGGAAATTTGTGGACACTACAGATAAAATTTAAGTTTTCATATATGTTATTCTTTATTGTTAGTCAATGCATTCAATAAATTATTTCATGCACATTAAAAAAAATCACTATCTCCAACTCCCAACTAAAAATAGGAGAAAACTGGAGCCCACACAGATAAAAAAAAATTCTGAAGGTGCTTGCAAATTGGTCTTTTAAAAATACTCTTTCTAGGTTAGTAATAATGTATTATTTCAAAACAACTAAAGGACAAGTTTTAATGTTCTCAGGACAAATGATAAATATTTAATGTGATAGATATGCCAAACAGATTGATTTGATAATTAATATATATATATGAAGACACCATACCATATCCTTCTAAATGTACATAATGTTTGTTAATTGAAACAGAAATCAACCTTCTGAAATACTATAGTAATAGCCCTAGACAGGTGATAAGCTTTTCAGGAGAATAGAAGACAACCTTGCCTGGAATATTTCACTCCTTATTTGGAGTAATGTAATGACAATTACACACTTAAGTAGGTAACGAATGAATAGCACTCACCTGATTCACAGTAATGGGAGTCATGCAATCATCTGATATTCCAAAGTTTATATTTGGCTGGAAAGAAGAAAGCCATGGAAGAAATAATGACAAGCCCTACTTGTAGGAATAAAGTTGTTAGAAATATCAAGTCCAAGAATCCTCTGAAACTGAAGCATTTTAAGTTGTGATCAGTGTTGTTTTTTTCCATACAATATGTCTCACATTGATCTGAACACTGTCACTAGAAATTAACAGGACCTTTCCTTCAATAATACTGCCATTTATGACCTTTGAACTAAGAAAAGAAACAACATGTACAAATATATACTGGAAAATCAGGAATGTTGTGACATATTAAGAATTAGGAAAGATTATCTGAAGCATTATTCCACTGCAAAAAGAGTTACAATTTGAGAAATGCTGTATTTAAAAGATAAACTCTGCCTCCTAAACATCCCATAACCTTCCCAAATAGCACCACCAACTGAGTACCAAGTGTTCAAAATCATAAGCCTGTGGGGTCATGTCAGGTTCAAAACATAGCACAATGCAACCAGGATGCAGTGAAAAAACCTTAACCCTGTTCTCAAAGGACCTAAGTTCAAATCTTGACTACTTACCAATCATCAGAATTCAGTTAATTATCCAAAATAGCCCTTGGTCTGTTTGACTGTCAGATGGGAAATAGTCTACCTTAGAATAACTAAGATGACATGGCTCAGGAAATAGAAGCATGATGACATGAGTTCCATCTCCAAAACCCATGGTAGAAAGAAAGCAGTGACTCCCAAGGGTTATTATCCTTTGGCCTTCACATGCATACTATGAAACATACATGTATGCAGATATGAATAAATTTTTGAAAAATGAAGATACCTAATGAATTAATGTACATAAAATATGGCTTACAAAATGTAAACTGCTGTGGAAAAATGAATAACTTTAACACTTTGTGATTTATAATCTCTTTAACTCTTTGTATTAGATGCTGGGTTGGATCTTAAGCATTCTATATATAATAAAGTGCCCCCCAGTGTACAACAAATATTTTAAAAGATACATATTATGAGACATACTATAGTTTAAATATTATATGTCCCCCAAAAGGCCATGTGTTAAAGGATTAACCACTATTTGGAGGTAAAAGAAAGTTTAGACAGTGGATCACATGTGGCATCTTCAGGTTATAAGGGGTTATTAGGATCCTGGCCCCTTCCCACTCCCAATCCAAGCCATAAAGTAAATAGTTTTATCATAATTTCTTGCCAAGATTTTCTGGCCCACCACCAGAGAACCAAAAGCAATGAGGTCAACAAACCATGGGTTAAAACTTCCAAATCCTGTCTATCTCAAATAGTTATTACAGTAAATGGAATGCTAACAAATGCAACAATTTACTTTAGGCCAGAATTTCATGTTTCGACTGATTTGTGAATGAATATTACAGAATATATTTAATTTGCTGAAGATAAAAACTATGGCCCAGTTTTGTTTATGTGATAAAATTGAGAACCTGCTAGCACTCCAACAACCCAACTTTCCTGTCTTTACTACCCCTTCCTCAGATCTTCTCCCAGAGTAAAAGCCATCTTTTTCTATGGCCTTCCTTATTCTCCATGACATATTGATGAAACCCACATTTCTCACAAGAATATTTTTCAAGATAATGCTTTTAATCTACAGAAACAAAGTTACCATTCTGTCAAACACACACCCCACAAAAACACAAACAACATGTCACTATGAGTAAGCCATAATATTTCAAATATGATCAGTTGCGCTTTATTTACTTCACTAGTATTCATCACCCTATTCTGGAGAAGGATCCTTAGAAAAGTGAAATTGAGTTTATATTTAGTATAGCCTGTAAGTGCCAAAATGCTCATACTTTTATCAAACATTTTAACACAAGAAGAAAGTTATCTGTGTTTTCCCTTTTCTCTAAATGAGGCTGAATTGATGCACACAATTAAAGCAAAGTTGAAGTCATTAGAATCTGGCAGGAGGTCAGAGAGCTATCTATGTGTTATCTGTTGTTAAATATACTTATGCCAAGGGAATCCGATTATACTTGCCACATAATTTTATACTTACCCAGATTCGATTTGGATATCAGAAAGTTCAATCGTGTTTGTGAAAATGCATAGGAATTGATGAAGCACAACCATAAGACTTCGTTTTCATTCATTCTCTTTTAGAAACAAGTAAGAATGGAAGCCACTCCATCACAAACAGTCATGTCAATCACTCAGAGCTATTTTAAAAGAGAGATTATTGATTTCCAGCTCACAGAGAGAAAGGGACATCTAGACTTTTTCTCACTCTTTCTGGTGCTCCTTGGGTTGATGGAGTACACACAGGTTTAGGAGATCCTTTCACTGCTTTTTTGCACATAGGTTTCTGGGAATATCACTACTCAATTTAAACTCTTTCCTGGCACCTCAGGACCCAAGTTAACATTATTTACTTGCAAAACATATGAATTATCAGAGCCATGTGAAGACGCAAGGTACCCTGGTAGCTTCCTAAAGTCCCAAGAGGCACTGAGCATCACTGCAAATATAATGAAGTAGGGAATTGCTCTCAGGAAGAATATGGTATTAACAGGAAAAAAAAACATAGTAGTTGCTTGAGTGTATAGGTGAGGTAGAGGTCCTGTCCCTGAAGAGCAATTCCTGAGTAGTAAATTGCTTTCTATGGACAGTTTTAGGACGATGGGGTTGTTTTGCTGAATATGATATATCAGTTTGGGCCAGACATAAATTGCTAAGAACAAAGGGGAAAGAGGAACTTGCCTTCCCTGAGGGCTTCCTTTATATCTCTTCCATCAGTAAAGTGTGCCTCAATATAAATGTCATACAAATATTTAAGGAGGTTATCAAAGCCATAAAGTGGTGGGGCACAGTTGTAACCCTATCTACTCAGGATGGTAAGGCAGGAGGATAAGTTTGGGGCCAGCCTGGGTAACTTATGAGGGCCTTGTCTCAAAAAAAAATTAAGACGTGAGCTGGTGCTCAATGTTAGAGCCCGTGCCTCACATGTGTGAGACCCCGGGTTCAGTCATCAGCATCAAAAGTACATTAAATTAAATTGATCTGAGAAATGCATCACCTCATCAGCTCAGGTACTGGCCCAGCTCTGTGACTGCACTGAGTGTCCCATTCCCAGAGTAAGCATTGTACTGATGAGCAGGGTTTAGTGGATTGCAGAGGAAAGGCACATTTTCAATGTCTCATGAACATCTATGAATCACTGGGCTACAGAGTTAGACCTAGTCTTCATGAAAAATAAATGGGGCAATTTTCCCAATTCTGTTATAGACTGAACCATACCCATGTTCATTCACTTGCCAATGTACTCACCTAAACTTTTTTTTCTCTGGTAGGAAGTTGACCTATTCTGCCTGCTTATAGTTAACAGATTTTATTTCTTAGGGAAAATTTGGGTTTACAGAAAAACTGTGCAGAAGTTACGGAGCGATTTAATATAGTGTCCATCTCCACAGTTTCTCCTAGTTATCCCTTTTGTATCAGTGTGACACATTTATTAGAATTAATGAGACAATATTTGGACTTTTTTTTTTTTGGTTTTTCGAGACAGGGTTTCTCTGTGTAGTCTTGACTGTCCTGGAACTCATTTTGTAGACCAGGCTGGCCTCGAACTCTCAGAGATCTGCCTGGCTCTGCCTCCCGAGTGCTGGGATTAAAGGCATGTGCCACCACTGCCCGACTTTGGACATTATTTTTAACTTAAGGTAATACTTTATAATAAGGTCCATGCTTTATATTTTAGAGTACTGCTTGCCTTGATAAATGCATAAACCATAAAGATTCCTTATAGACTTGTTTCTTTTGCTTAGCAATATGCATTTAAGGTTCTTTCATGTCTTTTTGTGATGTGATACTTAGATGTTTCCTGTGGTAAGTGCAATTAACATGATACCAATGCTCTTCACAAAATTTTAAGTGCAATGCATATATATTTATATATATATTTAAGTTTGCTTTTATGTATAAGCTATTCAAAGTATAGAACACTGAGAAATCAAATGTTTTAATCTCAGGAGATGATAGGAAATCTGCATACATTTGGCTATTTTGTAATTGTTAGCTACAAAGTTCCTATTTGCTTACCTTAACATGTTTAGCACAAAATTAGTAATAATAATATTTAAATGTTTAATATGTTTATTTCTAAGCTTCTAAATGGAGTTTTATGCTAGACTAATGATGTATGCCATCTTGGACATTAGGCAAATGGTAATGTATTGTTCATTAAATTCATTTTCCTATTATCGCTAACATTTTGTCTTCTGAGTTATTCTGAACTCTGGAAGATGGATTGTGTGTCCTTAAAGATTAATTATATGCCATCTAGTCTTACTGTTTTACATTTATTTGTCTTTGAAGACATGAGTATTTGCTGAACTGACATAGATAAGCTCAACCTGTGATTCTGTGTACAAAAATAATCAAAATCTTAGCAAAAATCAGAGAGGTAATGTAGCCCTAAGGTAATGTAGCCCTAAAGTAGAGGTACGTTATTTTCCCTATTGTGTGAATGTACCACATACTTAGACTCAAAAGAACACCTTACGTACCTCTGGCCAAGGAACTCATTTTGCAGTGAAGAATTGTGCATCTTGGGCTCATGCTATGAAATGTATTAGTCTTACCACATGCCTCATCATCCCAAAATTGTTGGTTTGATGTCTTGCTCAAAGCTCAGTTGTAGAATCAGCTGTTAAACAGTGAAGATGAGGAAATAACTTCATGATATAGTGTGTGCCTTAAACCAGAGGCACATATGTGTTTATGTATATATGTCTATATATGTGAGTGTGTGTGTGTGTGTGTGTGTGTGTGTGTGTGTGTGTGTGTGTGTATGGTGGTGTCTCTTAGAACACCAGAAGGCATGGGTGAAGGACCATTATGTAGAGCTGTGAATAGTTCCTCTTATGTTTAAAACTAATTGACTACTAAAGAAATGTTCTTTACTTATTTCCATAACCTTGACTTCCATGAGTCTATGTGTTCTGAACATATGCCACTCAATTGATTTGGGTAAAGAATGGGGGTGGAATGATTATCAAAAGGAAATTGGGTTGCTCACACACAGGGTTACAAGGAGAAGCAGGAAGCCAGGGCAGGGGATTGCCTAAGGAGAACTCTTCTTAGCACTTTGATCTATAATCCTGAGGAGTGGAAACTACAAGCAAACAATCAAAACAGGGCCACTAAGAAGCATGCATTCCAGAAGTGAAAGGTTGGATTTCTCATCTGGAGAAAGCAATCAATCTAGTTGAAGTGCTGAGGAAGAGTCAAAAAGAATCTGAATGACCTGTCACCTCAGCCCCCATGGCTAGTCACAGAACTGAGACTGAAGCACTGACATTTTACATTACTTAGCTTTTTCTTCCAACTGTAGTTTCCTGGCTATAATACTGTATGGAGAAAAATGGTGGTAGCTAAAGCTTTACAGTTCATATGGGAATATGAAAAGATTGATATTGCCCTTCACTGACAGTAGTCATGGGACTAAACATTTTCTTAAAGGGATAGATGATAAATTGGACTTTATGAGCCATATGGTCTTTGTCACAATGACTCCTGTCTGCCGCTCTAGCATGAAAACAGCTCTAAACAATTTGTGAAAGAATGTGTGTGGCTGTGTCCCAACTAAAACGTTACTAGCAAAAACAGATGGCCAGCCTGTGGGTTGTAGTCTGCTGACTCTGGGAGTAGGTGATGGGGACATTTTGGGATCCCTGTACTGAGGAATTAGATTTTATTTGGACAAAAGAACCCAGTAGATGCCACAAACTTTCAACATACTTTCTTCTGGCATTTTGAAATGCAAAGTTCATTATTGTTATTTGTCATTGCCCTCAGGTGTATCAGTATATCAGAATGTTTTCCTCTTTTTTTGCTGATAGCAGACAGATTGATATAAACACGAAAAGAACAAAGAAATAGAAATAGAGTAGTTGTGAAGGGCTCAAAGGGGTGAGCTATGTTGGGTAGTTTGGTTTGTCCCACCACATCCACTCTCTAAAACTTTCCAAACTTGTGGGCTTCGCTCCTTTACTCTCTGCGTTTTGGTTGGTTTGGGACACTTTCAGCCAATGGCAGGAGCTCAGAGGTCAGGAGGAAAGAGGTTGGGTTTTTATTTACAGTGTTTTCTTCCTCCTGGCCTCAAGTTTGTGTTCCTTTGCTACTCCTCTCTGTGACTTCAGAAACTATACACACAGTTCTTTCTAGGTTCCCATAATCATGCCCTCTTCTTGTCCTCTCTAAGCCTAGGATAGATGATTCTTGGTTCTGCTGGATTTGAATGCTTCCAAAGCTCTTACTGAGTTCTTTTTCCCATGTCTACATCATTACAAGCTAGTCCTTTCATTATTGCCTTCTTTAATTCCCTTTTGAGACTGTCATGTTTCCCACCAGGACCTTGATGGAGAAGGATGTTATTTGAAGACACTGCAAATTCAGAGATGTTAAAATCTGAAAAGAAATCTGCCCCTTAAGATCAGTGAACTATGCTGATTGGTAATACATGCCTAATAAATGAATGAATCAATGAGTTATTAGTGGTCAGTGAGGCAGTGTGATGTTATCAATTATGTATTGTACAGAAATAACTTTAGAAATCAGAATCAACACTGCTCCTTCCTAACCACTTAGATGCTTTTTTCCCCTTGTTTCTGGAAACTAACAAAAAGATCGCAGAACTCCTAGTTGTTAGACCGGAAGCAAAAACATTAAAAGGTGATTGAGTGATACCATTTCTTATGAGATCATTCCAAACCAAATGCTTCCAACATGGATATACTTCCCCTTTCTGTGAAATAGTAAGAGGGACTGTGAAGGAACCCAAGAAAGCCTTGAGAATGTGTAAAGAGCAGATGAAATCCTGAGTGAATGTATATTGTTTGACTTGATGAGCATAATCATCTCAAGGAATCCAATGCTTCCAAGGTAGTGCTCAAAACCTTCCCTTGGTGATGCTCAGAGTGACGGCAAAGCTTTCCTCTGGTCTAAGTGTGAATGTTGACTGTATGTGCAAGTAAGTATGAGTGTTTCCAGATGATTGGCTAATCTGCAAAAACTAGCAACTGCAGCTTCCTCTTCTCAAATGACTGCAACCTGAGACTGCTCTCCTATGTAGACCAGCTAACTCCTCCTCCTGTGCCATGCATCATAAACACGCTGAGGTTCCAAATTGTTGAGTAGTAGGTGTCCTCCATCAGAGTGAGCACATTCCACATGATCCCAGCTTTTCTTGCATGTGCGTTTGTTTGTGTTTCTTCATTCCCTCAATGCCCCTCCCTGGTTAGATCAAGTCCTAGCCATGCAGGACCTGTCGGGATGGTCACTGGTGACTATAAAAAACTGAATTCTGAACTTTCTGGAGAAGAACGGTTCAGGACCATGGGAACACATCAGACTCCTCAGCGGAAGGGCACATTCATGTCAACTACCTTATGAGATGACTGACATATTATGGCCAAGGCTATTTTAACAGACATAATCTTCTTTACTGCCATTACTTCTCAGACATTATTTAGTTCAGACTGCCTATCTAGAACTTAAAACCCTCTAGCAAAACTAATTATCAGAACTGCACATGTCATATTATAGAAAACTAGTAATGACGGGGGCTACTCAACCCAAAACAAGAATCATCATACCTTTGCAAAAGTCTATTGCATTTCCTCCCTAATTTCCAGCTTCATGGCTGTTCATATGGAGACAAAGGAACAAGTACCCCATATCTAGCCCTCCTCAGTGTTTCTTGGAGTGCTAATCCGGGAGAAGATGAGGTGCTTCCACCAGAATCTAAATCAACGTGCTGACTCCTTCATTAAGAAAGCTTATCAAAACTTCCAGCTGAACAATGTAATCGTTATTGACATTTCTAATACCTGCTCTGGGGCAAGCTCTATAGTTTCTTTTCTAGATTATTTTTTATTGCTTTTAGTTATTCCTTTGAGGGGGACACCCACATGCCAAGACACACTTGCGGCAGTCAGAAGATTAACAGAACAGAGAATCAGTTCTCTCCTTCCAACATGTGGGAACAAGCAATTGAACTCACAGGTCATTGGTCTTGGTGAAAAAGCTCCTTTATCTGCTGAGTCATCTTGCAGGCCCTCCTTATCTTGATGACCCATAACAAGTGATTCAGGGATGAGCAACACATAGGATGGTCAAACTGTGAGAAGCTTTGGTCTAGAGAGTTTTGGAACTCAGTCCTTTCCGAAATCCACATTGCTGCCACTTAACATTTTTCCCCTTTCTGGTTTTCTAAAAAAGAAGTCCAAGTTCTCGCTCTAACCTAGCAGTTCATGCTTTATATTGGGGTACAGGCCTGCAATCATTGCTACTCAGGAGACTAGGGCACAAGGATTACAAGGTCAAGGCCAATATTTGCTACAGACTGAGTTCAAGGACAGCCTAGAGAATTTAGAGAGACAAAGTCATGAAATGGGGAAAATAGGGCAGGCTATAAAATATGTTCAGTTGTCGAGAACTTACCTGACTTACATAAGGCCAATCTTCAGTTCAAATCATCTAATAGCCTGCTCAAGTGTCAAACAAAATTCCACAAAAGTAAGAGATACATTGGAAGATATTTCAGAGAAAGATTGAGATTGTTTTATGTTCAGAGATGAAAGCTTATCAGCATCCTTCTGCAGAGAAATGTATCATTTCTGGAGAGATGGGGAAGGGAATGGTCAGAGAATGGGGGAGAGGAGAGGAGATGATGCAAAGCCCCAAATTTACAAAACGCTATGTAAGGAAATGAAATTGTTTTCTGGCTCAAGCAAATACATCAATTGCTGTGCATCGTCACAGATGGCACTATGTAATGGAAACATCTGCACAATGTACACCCACCAGTAAAACTGATTCTGATTAAAGAAGCTAGGACTTGGGGATGTAGCTCATCTGGTAAGAGTTCTTGTTTAGCATACACGAAACTCTGGGTTCAGTACTAAGCAATGTATAAGCCAAGAATGATGTGCATTCCTGTAATTCCAGCATTCAGGATGTAGAGTCGGTTCCTGGCCAACATGAATGAGGTGAGACCCTATTTCAAACAACAACTGTAAAAGCTAGATTCACACTTTTCTGTGCCTTTTTTCTAAGGAGAAACGAGTGCTGCATTTTCCATGAGCTAAGCATAATTCTAGCGTTGTAAGTGTAGACACTAAGCATTGTCCAAGGCAGAGAAGCACTAGTGTTTCTCCAAAGGAAAAACATGTGCTCCTATCAGCAGTTCTACCCAGCAACCTTCT